TTTTGTTAGTTTTTTTTTATCAGGGTATTTTGATGTGCCATAAATTATGCAAATCCCCACTCGGGATAAACAAAAATTCTCAGGTTAGATAAATCTGCTTACGTCCAGCTCCTGTAAAAAATGACATAGTGACATATGAAGGTGTAAGCTGTGAACAACAGTCGACAAAACCCTGCTTCCTGCAGCTAGCAGGTGTCACAATCCGCTATTTTAATGTTGTAATAACGTATTTTAAGGCCTTACCTTATTTAGTTTTCCTCTGTGTTCATTATGCCTACAATAGTGTTGTATTCATTCCTTTGTTTACGTTATTGTAGGTCTCTTGTGTTTATGTACGTACATTTAGATTTCTGTTACATCCCCTCCTGTGTTCCTTTCTGTCTCTGTCACATTGGAAATGCTGTAATTGGTAATGATTCCTAGCCAAACTAGTTTGCTATGATAGGGTTGTCTGAATACAGCCGGTAGTAAGGAAGGAGGCAGGAAAAGGAGCCGGCATGTTTCCTTTCATAGTTCCTTTAGCATAGGGAGCTCATAAGTCCCTGCACTGGCACTGAAGAACTATAAAGAATCTCACAATCCTTTGAGTGACATGACCTAACAGCACATCCTAACTCAGAAATTAACAAAAAAAGCATAATTTATTTACTGTGTGTAACACATGCATATGGAAACATTTTGAAATGCTTTGGGTTTTGTAATGAAGAGCTTCAGCCGTTTGCTATATTTCTGTGTTTTTGTGGCTCTTCTGGGAAGGCTGTAGGCCTGGATCTAACCAGCATCATTTATGTGTTAACCTCATAAACGAGAAAGGAACAGGAGTTATTTGATCATTTTGGTTTGTACCTCAGCTCTCTGCCCTCATGGCTGTCAGCTGCTTCTCATTTCCATCGGATTACTCTCACCTGCTCTCCCTTGTGTATATAAACTCCCTGCTTTTCATCTCTCCTCATTGGTTCCTTCTGTTTCCATGCCTGTTGTCCGTGCATGTGCTGTGAGATTTTAACCTTCTGTTGCTGACAACTGGATCCTTTTGCAAACCAAACATGAAAGCATAAATTAATATTAACCAGTTTGTCTCCTCATCCATTTTATTTTTTATTTTTTTATTTTCACAACAAAAAAAGTATAATAATAAAAAATTGTGTGAAAACTTGCCAAAAACTTGGAAAATTGCCAAAAAAAAGCTTTAAGAGACTAAATAAGTGCCAATCTCCATAGAAAAAATTATATTTAACAATTTAAAAAGATATATGTTAATACATAAAAATACATCTCTAGATATAAAAACAATTTAAAATTACATTTTAAGTTTATGATGAAAACCTTGATTCGTGAAAGTGTTTTTATTTGTATTTTTACTTTATCTTATTACTTAGAAACACCTGAATTAGAATGCTACTCCGTCTGATTACATCATTTTAAACATTAAATCAGTCATAAGCCAACAATTACTCATTACTACAGTAGCCATTATACCCAGTCGTTTTAATTCTTACTTGAATAAACTCTTGAATGTCTACTTTCCATTTTATTTGACTGAAAATTATGTTACTCTTATTTAGGGGCGTGCAAAATTATCGTCATGACGATGCCTCATGATTCCTACATTTTGTGATCTACTGCATCGATTCTTGACGCCAAGTATCGATTCTTAATTTAAAAAAAAAAATTATAAATAAAATACATGAATGGTTGGGGCACATCAGCCAAAAACAAGTGGAATACAACTTCCAGTCAGATGTCGCTGCGGATGTGTTGATGCCCGCTGCCTTGTTTTACCAGCATTTCAGGCCTGAGGAGACTGAGAAAATTTGCCCGGCTCCATCACTTTTTAAGTCAGATGTTTGGATGCATTTTTACGGAAGAGGATTAGGGCCACTGAAAAAAAAAAAGGTTAACTGATTTTTTTTTTTTTTTTTTTTTTTCAGTATAGTATGGGAAAAAAGTCAGAATTCTGACTTTTTCTTATTGTCAAAATTCTGAGAAAAAAGTCAGAATTCTGACTTTTTTCACATGTTAAATTGAAATAAAATTTAAAAATCAGTTAACTTTTTTTTTTTCAGTGGCCCTAAGCCTCTTCCGTACATTTTGGCTTTAAAAACAAAGAAGGGAAAAAACAAAATTGATATGACGCACGTTATTCGCAAAAAGGGAAATGTCATACATTTGAATGTTTTCATTTCATTGGTTTAAAGGAGGCTCCTCCAGTGGGTAGCACTGCTGCCTTGCAGCAAGAAGGTTCTGGGTTTGTTTCCCGGCCCAGGGTCTTTCTGCATGGAGTTTGCATGTTCTCCCTCAGCATGCATGGGTTCTCTCCGGGTACTCCGGCTTCCTCTCACAGTCCAAAAACATGACTGTTAGGTTATTTGGCTTCTCTAAATCCTCCTTAGCTGTAAGTGAATGGTTTTTTGTCCTGTTTTTCTCTGTGTTGCGCTGTGATGGACTGGCGACCTGTCCAGGGTGTACCCTGCCTCTCGTCCATTGACAGCTGGAGATCGGCACCAGCACCCCTCGCGACCCCAATTGGGATAAGCATGTCACATAATGGATGGATGGTTTAAAGGACAGCTAAGGCCATGTAAATGGCACTGATTATCCTTATTTTGTTATTTGAAGTTTTATAAATCCTAAGCACTTTTTGTCAGTGTGTCCACTACAGTAATAGTAATATTTGTGTCCGGTATTTGTTTTCATGGCAATACCTCCAAAGATTGTTTTTAATAAATACAGCTATATATGAATTCAGTTGCTTTCAGTTATGTATCAATTGAAGACCCTATCCAGATCATACACAGCCAGTCAGCGATTGGTAATGGCTGTATTTTTTTCTACCAGTGTTCAGTGAAAATATCGCAATGCATCGTGATGCATCACGATATTTCAAGTATCGTGATAGAATCGCATTGTGGCATGTGAATCGTGATTCGAATCGAATCTTGACTTCTTTGGCAATACCCACTCCTACTCTTATTGCATTAAGTTGTTTTGGATACTCTGCTCTTTTTGGTACTCACCTCTGCTTAATTTTTACCTGTTTTGCAGCTATGTCAAATAAAACCCCAACAAAAGCTAAGAATTATTCTAGCAGAACATAAAAGCTCTAGTTTCCCACTACTGCCCTGTTAGATTTTTATTAAACTGAAGATAAACTTGGAGAAACACATTATGTGTAGAAGGCAGTATAGTGAATCTGCATTTGCATGTCAAACACAAGATATTAATTATTGCTTAGAGACTATATGTGTTGTATAACCAATCCTTGCTCTCACATCTACAAGACAGCAAACTTAAATTGGATGCAGCTTTGCTTGAGCTTTCCCCAAGTGGCATATTTAAATTTAGGAGAGGGAAGAAAGAGCAGTTGATGAAGAGCTACACATAAACCCTGAAGGTAAACAAAGGTTGATGGAAGCAGAAAAGAGGGGGACTTACTGTTTCACAGCAGAGAGATGCAAGAACAGATGCAAAGGATGGAGATAATGGAGGAGAGTCAGTGGAGAGGGAGGCGGGGGTGGCGATGAATAATCCAATAGACAATATATAAAAGTAGAGCAGTAATTGGATATGGCTCATAAAATAATAAATATGCTTTGGAGGCAAACATCAATCTGAAAGTACATCTTCTGGTCATTGTGTTATGGACAAAGAAACTAACAGCATGGAGGCTGTATGCAGATGGAACATCCATCATTTCTCCTAAAACATCTCATCAGAGCAAAGAGACCTAAGTCTGATTACTGACACACATATGGTTGCACCATCACTATTAAATCTCTGGCTGGGGGTGAAGGTGAGAGCAGAAAAAGGAGGGAACCCCTAAAAAGACTCTGAGAGGAAAAGCCCAGGGAAGCCCCGCTGCAGCTTTCTGCAAACAGGAGGATCCCCTCTTCTGCATGCTGCAGTCACAGTCCTCATTGAAACTACAGTCACACTTCATGCAGGCGGCTTCCCTCTGTAGCCTGTAGACCTGCACCAAGCTTGCACAACAGATCATGCACCACAAACTAATTCTCTGACCTGCAGCTAAATCACATGTTTAATGTAGCTACATGAGATGAGTTTGATGCAACAAAGGGAAGCTACTTTCTTGAGGTGCGTTTATTTGTAAAACCAGAAGAAGATATCTATGAATACTGAAGATGATGGAGAAATGTTGCAGTTTTATGATCGTTTTATCCTGCAAGTAGGGAAGTCCCTGCAGCTCTGGAAACAAGGCGGTGGTGTTTCCATGAGAAGCGGGGGGGAGTAGGCTAAATAGAACAAGAGCGTTTAAAACCTCTGAATGAAAGAAAAATAGGATTTTTACGCACTAAATTAGCAAATAAAACAAAAAAATGGGAGCATTTACCTTTTATATCAATCAAAGCGAATGTTTTCTTCCTGTTTTCTCTCCCGATTCCTTCATTTCTAAGATGCGCATCAGTAAATTTGAGAATTACTACAATCTGGAAGCAGCTCCATCAAAATAAATCATAATAAGTATAATTAAAATAAAGCTTTTCATACGTGTGAGAGGATGGAGTCTCATATTTCTGAGAGCAGCCCGGACTGAGAGCAGAGTTTGTTTTGATCCTATAGGACAGCGCTCTCCCTCTGGGATCAGAGCGCTCATTAAACCGCTCCAGTTATTCTGTCTTCTTAAAGTGTACAGATCATTAAAAAAAACCATCAGTTCCCTCTAAAAATTTCACTCAAGCTTCTTAAAGTTGGTGAGAAAAGCGGGACAAGGGTTGATGCGCAGAGCGTCTCCAATCTCAGCCTTTTCCACAAACAACCACGGATCCTGATGCGCGATCGATCAGATAAACATGGATATTTACAGGCTTTGAATGTTGAGGGAAATCTCCCTAGGATGCATGTTTCCTCACATAGAGCAGCTTCACATGCGTGAGAATCGGTTGTCAGAAATGCCCGCATGGAGCCAAGCGCATACATCCAAAACGCGCACATAGAGAGCAAAAATGCGCCAAAATGCGCAAAAAGGAGAAGTCCCTTACCGTTTTGTTTTAGAGCCAGGGCGCAGCCGAAGCAGAGAGCATGATGGAGTGAAGAACAGGAAGAGGAGAAAGTGTCCTCCGCTGCTCGACTGGCTCCCAGCAGCAAACACTCACTCACACACTCAGAGGGAGCAGGCGGGCGGGGTGAGGAGGAGAGCCGCTGGCCACGGGGGCGTGGATGGATGCCCTGTTGGGACGTGAGAATGGGAGGGAGAGGAAAGGGGGAGATTAGGAGGAGATGGAGGTCAGAAGGAGTGGAAAAGGAGGAAATTAAAGAGAGGGAATAAATTAAAGGGAATAATGATGGAAAGAAGAGAGGAAAACAGGAAAGATAGATTAAAAAAGATGATGCAGGGAAAATAAAGAAACTGAGGGAAAAAAAGAGGGATGAATATAAAGGGATTGATTTAGTGTCAAGAAGCTACACAGCTCACAACCCCAAGCCTCATCTCTTCCCTTTTTTATTATGACACCTGGCACTTTAATATCTAAATGGGAATATCAGAAGGTTCCCCAGTTTGGCACCATCTCTGGTAACCCAATATCTGCAGCAGGAGGGCCTGAGTGGAGAACAGAGCAGAGGGTCAATCAGTCAGAGCTTTGAGCAGAACCAATTACTTAAGCCCTGTGCAACATTTCAGACTCCTGCTGACCTAGCAGGCTGGAAACAGTCGATCAGCAGACATTAAATCCTCCAGAGTCCATCCGCTGGAGTCGATCAGAGTTTAGACGCAGTTCTAACTGCTCCTCTTTCTCTTCAGAAATGTATTTTATCCTTTAGTTCAGCTGCTTAGGACTGTAATTGTGATTCATAGAGAGGGTCTCTAGCTTTACACATTTTCTTGGTTTTAGCATATCTTTCATCCAGAGCTGAGATCTTTTCAAGCACATGTAACACACAGGTGATATCATAAATAATTCCCCATTCCACATATTACCATGCATTATGTGTGTGCCTTTCTCAGGAAGACACTTTTCTGAATGCTTGCTCTGGTGCACACCTTTTTAGGGGCTTATAGTTTGACATGTTTCCAACATTATGAAAAACCTTAAAAGGAGTTGACAAACACTTTTAAACAAGAGGAAATGAATTGAGACTTAAGAAATCACTCAAAAGGGACCTACACCTCCTGTTAAATACAGTGAGGAAAATTAGTATTTGAACACCCTGCTATTTTGCATGTTCTCCCACTTAGAAATCATGGAGGGTTCTCAAACTCTCATCGTAGGTGCACATCCACTGTGACAGACATAATCTATAAAACATGCAGAAATCACATTATATGACTTATTAACTATTTACTTGTTTGACACAGCTGCAAATAAGATTTTGAACAGCTAAAATTCTGACCCTCAAAGACCTGTTAGTCTGCCTTCAAAATGTCCACCTCCACTCCATTTATTATCCTAAATAACACACCAGTTTTAGGTCGTAGCATAATAAACACATGCAAAGCCCAGAACTCTGCCTCCTTGGGTATGACATGTAGATGTAATTAAATTATAACATTTACCAGTTTGAAAAGGGTGAAAATCTAATTTTTTAAAATTTGGGACTATAGAAAATCTCTGTGAGAATCATTTTCCAGAAATGAAGAAAACAGAATAGTAGATAAGAGTCCAGCAAAATCAAAGTCCCTCCAAGAGCTCAGGAAAAACTTCTCAGGGATGCCACAGATGAACCTAGAATAACATTTGAAAATATGCAGACCCCAGTGCCTCAGTTAAGATCAGAACTCATAATTCATCAATAAAAAAGAAAAGTAGGCAAAAGTTGCCTCCACAGGATGCAGATTGATTCCTGACAGAGTAGCTATGCATGATTTTACCAAGGACTCACATGAGGTCACGATGTACCATTCATATACCAGTAATGTGTGTGTATCACCTAAATTTACCAAAAGAGACTTCTTTAAAACTCCTCAGTTGCTTGTTAGAAGCCCACCCACCGTCTGCCACCTACCTGCCTCCATACCCACCTATGCCACCAGCTCCTGGAACTTCCACAACTAAAATGAGTCCTCAGGTGAACTCAGTACCGAACTGTTTATATATACAGTATATACACTCACCGGCCACTTTATTAGGTACCCCATGCTAGTAACGGGTTGGACCCCCTTTTGCCTTCAGAACTGCCTCAATTCTTCGTGGCATAGATTCAACAAGGTGCTGGAAGCATTCCTCAGGGAGTTTGGTCCATATTGACATGATGGCATCACACAGTTGCCGCAGATTTGTCGGCTGCACATCCATGATGCGAATCTCCCGTTCCACCACATCCCAAAGATGCTCTATTGGATTGAGATCTGGTGACTGTGGAGGCCATTTAAGTACAGTGAACTCATTGTCATGTTCAAGAAACCAGTCTGAGATGATTCCAGCTTTATGACATGGCACATTATCCTGCTGAAAGTCGCCATCAGAAGTTGGGTACATTGTGGTCATAAAGGGATGGACATGGTCAGCAACAATACTCAGGTAGGCTGTGGCGTTGCAACGATGCTCAATTGGTGCCAAGGGGCCCAAAGAGTGCCAAGAAAATATTCCCCACACCATGACACCACCACCACCAGCCTGAACCGTTGATACAAGGCAGGATGGATCCATGCTTTCATGTTGTAGACGCCAAATTCTGACCCTACCATCCGAATGTCGCAGCAGAAATCGACTCATCAGACCAGGCAACGTTTTTCCAATCTTCTATTGTCCAATTTCGATGAGCTTGTGCAAATTGTAGCCTCAGTTTCCTGTTCTTAGCTGAAAGGAGTGGCACCCGGTGTGGTCTTCTGCTGCTGTAGCCCATCTGCCTCAAAGTTCGACGTACTGTGCGTTCAGAGATGCTCTTCTGCCCACCTTGGTTGTAACGGGTGGTTATTTGAGTCACTGTTGCCCTTCTATCAGCTCGAACCAGTCTGGCCATTCTCCTCTGACCTCTGGCATCAACAAGGCATTTCCGCCCACGGAACTGCCGCTCACTGGATGTTTTTTCTTTTTCGGACAATTCTCTGTAAATCATAGAGATGGTTGTGCGTGAAAATCCCAGTAGATCAGCAGTTTCTGAAATACTCAGACCAGCCCTTCTGGCACCAACAATCTTGCCACGTTCAAAGTCACTCAAATCACCTTTCTTCCCATACTGATGCTCGGTTTGAACTGCAGGAGATTGTCTTAACCATGTCTACATGCCTAAATGCACTGAGTCGCCGCCATGTGATTGGCTGCTTAGAGATTAAGTGTTAACGAGCAGTTGGACAGCTGTAACTAATAAAGTGGCCGGTGAGTGTATATATACATACATATATATCAGAAGGTCAAAGGCACACTGAGTAAAACGTAACTGACCTTCGGCTTCAGGCTGGAACGTAGTTGCCACAAACAGTAGCGACATTACCTGCAGTTCGTGCTTTAAAATGCACACAGAGAGGATTAGATTACAACACAGGCAGTCGGCCTAGAGTTTTCTCACCACAGATCGATGATGTGATGAAGTGTCTAAGATGTGAGAGCTGCTGGGTGATTTATGTAAATGAGCTGCAGATTAAATCTTGTTTTTATAGATGACATCTATTTTTTTATTTCAGAAAAGTATACAAGAGTACAAACACAGCTTTATATTTCCACCTATAATAGAACTTGCGTTACCTCCAGTTTTATTTGAGTAACTGCATTTATGTCCCAATCCGAACTCAATTCGAACCCAATCCGAACCTAACCCTAAAGAGGTCACTAAATCACCTTTTCACAATTATCTGGGCTAACAGGTCAGCTTTTTAATGTGATAGATTTCTGGGAGAATAGAGGAGCATTAAAGGGTAAATAGTCACGGCAACAAAGAGTTGGACTTGGAAACGATCTGCAGGCAGATCAGAGCATCATTCCTTCTGCTTTCAGAAGCAGCGTGAAATGTGAGAAGCTACCAGCTGCAATCAGAAGCCAGAGGAAAATAGATTGAAGCCAACAAGAGGAGTTGTTGTTGCTGGGCGTTGTAGATGACCATTTAGGCCAGCATTTGTCAATGGGTGGTAATGCTACTAGGTAGAATTTATACCAAATATGCACATCAATAACAGTTTAACTTTAATCTACTTACTAAAAACTGTGGTCCGTAATATTAAAACAAACATGGCTTTGCAACTGTTCTGATGGTCACTCTTGTCAGGGTTTTTGTCAGCTGCTTGTGGCAAAGGCAACGCCTTGTTCCTTACATTAGAGTACTATCTATTAAATTTAATCTACATGGAATTTACTGTGTACATTCAGCAAAATTAGTTCTCTTTTTCATGGTCCTAGCCATGATATTTATTTTGTGTAAAAGAATGGATTTCTCTGAGGGATACACAATGAACGTATTGTTATTGCAGTGGTTAGACTTTTTTAAAGGGATATTCACCTGATAGCATCTAGATTTGCATTAAACAATTCACAATACAAATGTCTTTGTTAGCAAGACTGTAACACGGTGTTGTAGAAGCACATGAACACAAAACATTAAATATTCTAAAACCCAAAATCCACGGCCTGACCAGTGGATCACAACAGCAGCAGCATCTGTCAAGGATCAGAGGAGATCAGCTCAAAGCAGATTAAAGGAAGGCAGGACAATCCAGAGGATGAAGCCAGAGCCGGTGTTGAAGAGGTTCACTGGAGTTCAGGCAAGAAGATCAGAGATTCGAAGGTCTCCGTGTCAGAAAGCAGATCCAGGTTCGGTGAACAGGCAAAATCCAGCAGGAGTCCGAAGACAGATCAGGCAAACTGATCCGTATCGGAACAGGCAGGCTCAGAGGTCTAAAGGCAGAATGGCTCAGGGTTTAGCAATCAGAACACAAACTGGTATGCTAGAGAACTCTCACCAAAGGCTCGAGAATTATCTGGCACTGATGACTGGTTTGAGGGCTGGTTAGATATAGGCTGGAGCAGGTGGATCACATGAAGGGTAATAAGAAATGGGCAGAGCTTGGCAGGTGAATTAATTGAACAATCAATCCAATCATCTGCACCAAGATAATAACAGCATCAGCTTTGTTACAGGGCTTTTATCACATAAAACTGTTTATGCTTTTATGTTCAGCTTTATAACTTGGTGTTTTAGGGAACTTTTAAGTCTTAATATCAGTCAGCATCTTTGAAAGTGATGTATTCAGTGTTTTACA